AGACCCGGGTAGCGCCTCCCCAGGAGAAATTCACAGAGGGAGGGACATAAGGTGGGACAGGGAGCCCCCGAGGACCAGGAGACAAGCAGGATTCACCATGCCTGTCCCAGAAGGTGGAGATGAAGAAGATCTTGAATTTTCCCATTCATTTTAAGGAAAAGGCTAAGAAACGTGCCGGTGGATAAAAATGTATCAGAAGTAGAGATCCTTTTTAGAAGAAAGAAAAACAATAGTTAGTAACGATCGATTGTTAATTCTCATGTCATGGAATCCAACACACACCGTTATTTAAGGCACCGCCAAAGAAATTAAAAAGGCCCTAACTAAACAGTAACAATGGTGCCTTCTTCACAGGGATTATAAGATGCACCCCGATTGATTTCAGATGTTAACAGGTAAGGGAAAAAATGTGCAAATTTTTACTACCCACATCAGATAGAGCACTAATCTCTAGGTACATAAAGAACTCAAAAACCTTAACACCGACCCAACAAATAACCCAATCAATAAATGGGCCAAGGACCTGAACAGACACTTCTCAGAAGAGGACATACAATCAATCAACAAGCATATGAAAAAATGTTCAATTAGAACATCTAGCAATTAGAGAAATACAAATCAAAACCACTCTAAGATTTTATCTCACTCCAGTCAGAATGGCAGCTCTTAAGAACACAAACAACAATAAGTGTTGGTGAGGATGTGGGCGGAAAGGCACACTCATACATTGCTGGTGAGATTGCAAATTGGTGCAGCCAATATGGAAAGCAGTATGGAGAGTCCTTAGAAAACTGGGAATGGAACCACCATTTGACCCAGCTCTCCCTCTCCTCAGTGTATACCCAAAAGACTTGAAAACAGCATACTACAGGGTCACAGCCACATCAGTGTTTGTAGCAGCACAATTCACAATAGCTAAACTGTGGGACCAACCTAGACGCCCTTCAGTGGATGAAAGGATAAAAAAAAATGTGGCATCTATACACAATGGAACATTTCTCAGCATTAAAAGAGAACAAAATCATGGCATCTGCAGGTAAATGGAAATGGATGGCGCTGAGAATATCACGCTAAGGGAAGTGAGCCAATCCCTGAAAACCAAAGGCTAAATGTTCTCTCTGGAATGTTGATTCATGATGGGGTTGTAGGGCACGGGAGGATTGGACAGACTCTAGATAGGGCAAAGAGGTGGGAGGGGGAGGGAGGGGGCATGGGGGTAGGAAAGACGGTGGAATGAGATGGACATCCTTACCCCAAGTACATGCATGAAGACACGAATGGCGTGACTCTACTTTGTGTACGACCAGAGACATGAAAAATTGTGCTCTATAGGTGTACTATGAATGGAAATGCATTCTGCTGTCATGTATACCAACTTAGAATAAATAAATAATTTTTTTAAAAAAAAGAAAGATCAGAGACACTGATTTGAGGAGGATGTTCTGACGGAGGCTGAGGTTCTGGTCCTCCAAGGGAATCCATGAGATGGGGCAGAGCCACCCTCTGCCTGTCCCTGGGCTAGGATTCCTCCTGCTTCTCTCCACTCACAACCCTTCCTCTAGGCATGCTGTCCCCACGAAGCCCTCCCCGCAGCAGGCTGGGGCTCCTAAATGGTTCATAAAGACCAACTAATTGCATTAATGTGTCTCTCAGTTTTTTTTCTGGGATGAGCTCCTAAGACTTAATTAGACAATTATCATTAAACCCATGGAAGCTCTCCCTGAGAGCAGTCAGCGGGGGAATGCTGTTTTCCTTGGTGGCTGTCACCTGAAGTGGCTTTGGGAAATTGCAAAGAAACAGGCAGAGAGGTGCTGGGCGGAGAAGAAACTCATCCGGCCTCGATGCCACCACCTGGCCAGTGTTCCCAGGAGAGGAACGTGCAGAGGCCCTGGGTGGTTGGTGGTGCTGGCCTGGCCCCTGCCAGCCCGCGGAGCTGAGGGACCCCTCGGGGTGCTGGAGAACGGATGGGTATCTTGAAGGTGGCCATGACAAGGGTTCTGACGGCCAGAAGTCAACAAACGCTACAAACCTGGGCTTTAGGGGGAAGGTTACTAAACCCAGGTTCGGAAGCTCGGCCCACAGAAAAGCCAATGTCTGAGAGATGAGTATCGGGATCAAAGAAAGACGTGGTCCAGTGGCCAAAGAATGGAGAAGCCGGAGCCGGGCGCAGTGACGCACACCTGTCATCCCAGCGGTTCCAGAGGCTGAGGCAGGAAGATCGAGAGTTCAAAACCAGCCTCATCAAAAGTGAGGCCCTAAGCAACTCAGTGAGATGTTGTCTCTAAATAAAATACAAAATAGGGCTGGGGAGGTGGGTGGGTGGTCAAGTGCCTCTGAGTTCAGTCTCCAGTACCCCATAAATAAATAAATAAATAAATGAATAAATGGAGAAGAGGGAGCTTTATTCATAAATCAGCTTCTTAACCCCAGGAAATGGAGGGGGTTCCAGATATAGGGTAGGAGAAATGACAAAGAGGGATGGGCTAATAAAGGGGAGGCCTTTCTAGAAATAGGCAGAGAACTTTCTGGAACTCGGGTGCCACTTCTTTTCACTTTTTTTCATGGTCTAGTGTTTCGGGTCGTGGTGGGCAGGTATCTTTATGAAAAAAAAGGGCTGGGGATGTAGTTCAGGGTTAAGTGACCCTGGGTTCAATCCCCAGTACGAAAGAAG